TTCAGAGTTTATAATAAGGGACCTTATTCCCAAAGAAATGCTTGTATTTTACTGTAGCTTGACATGGTATCACCAAGCCAGTTTTGAACGTCATAATAAAATAGTTAAAATACAGAGAGAAATGTTATGAACTTGAGAAAAGTTTGTTTTTTCCAACTTCCTTCTCAATAATTAAATGTGGGCTCTTTGCTTATCATCCTATCTGAAGTGATTTAAAACTCCGATATGAGTCTGCCTCTGAGAAACAGGCTTTCACTGTAGGCGAAATGTTTCTAAGATATCTTCAGAGTCAGAGCTCACTATACTAAAGACATTGGATTGCTATTGATATTACTGATAGGCTGATGAGCTAGCCAATTTACTCGAAGGCACCAAGGTGAGAAATTATGACAGGGAGTTCTGTGGGAGAGGAAGGGAGAGTGACTCACCAGCCTTGGCAATATTCCAAGAATCAAGCAAGAGTATAAAAACTCTGATCTTGTAAATCTTAACATTAATGCAAAAGTCCATACAACTAAAGGAATCTATGACATATTTCCTCAGTTAAGAAAGCATTTTAACCCTTTGCTTTAAAGTCCTAACTTTTTAAATGAATAGTTCACTCCCAGCACAGCGTACAATGAAGCATACCAGAAAAATGCAGGCCTATTTTGCTACAATGATCAAATTCCGTATGTTGCCTGGTGAGTGGTCATAATAGGACTTTATTAAGCAGTGAGAAAGTTGGATGAGAATAGTTGACACCTGAACAGTTGTACTATCTCAGGTGTCAGTAGTGCACAAACCCTTTTAATTATAACTTAGGATAATTATCAGAAAATAAGTTAATGTCACGTTTAAACGTGGAACCTTCACATTTTGAATGTATAAGAAATCTATTGGTAGAGATCCCAGTGATACAATCTCTGAATATTGTACCCAAAGTGATAATCCTGGAATAGTGGAAACACTCTGGTTCTATCTGTATAATTCCAGTACATTGTGGTAAGCAGCCTAAATTTCACAAATTTACTGAACAGAAGGTAGAGTCAAAGAATTGCTAACTGGAAGTCTGTGTTTGCTTTCTATCCAGGATTTCTGTGGACCTTACGTGTTTTTCCTCTTTGCCTATTTAAACCAATGTGACTAAATTAAGCAGATATTTGATCATTACCCACTGTCCACTGAAACTAGCTCTGCCATCTGGGGCTAGGGTCACTCCCCACCTCAATCTCACTCCTGTAAAAATGGAATGGTGAATTGTCTTCTACCTGTTGTATATATTAACATGACCTCTTTGTCAGTAAAAATGATTTAAGTAAACGGTCAATATGTTGTGACTCACAAAATTGAGATAATATTCTCTAAAACTGTCCTAGGTATTCCTTGTGGAGAAGGCAGGGCGACGTTCTCTCTTTCTAATTGGAATGAGCGGGATGTTTGTTTGTGCCATCTTCATGTCTGTGGGACTTGTACTGCTGGTAAGTTTGGTGCCTGCACTGAGATTTTTCATTTCCATATGATGGCACTTGGCAGCTCTGTGCTCCAGGTTAAAGTGCTTTGTATTCAAAAATATTTGAGATTGACTTATGAAATAAACCCAGAGCAACAGCATAAAATACAACGGAGATATATAAAGAAAGATAAACTAGTTTGTTAGATTTAAAGACTGAATATCATCATGTAAATTCTACTTGTCATCCAGGGAGGCCATGTGCCCATGGTTAGAGCATAGGCTCTGGATTCAGCACCAGCTGGGTTTTAATGCTGACTCTGCCACATGGCTGCCTGGGCAACCTTGGGCATGTACTGGACCTCTGCCAGCCTGGCATTCTCATTCACTACTTCACAGGGAGTATACATCTTGCCTAGCAACCTTGGTATGAGTAGGAGCAAAGGTCACTGGATCCTTGCCCTGCCTCCTTCACAGAAAATCCTAATCCAGAGGACTTCCTTAGAAGAAATCTAAATCTAAAGAGTTAAGCATGATTCCAACTAGAATAATTTGTCTCAGACTAGAACAACTTGTACTTGCTTGAACATAAATACGTCAGAAAAAGATGTATGCCTGCCTCTGAACTCAGAGCCTACTCAGCTAAAGGAAGAAGCAGCCAATGATCTCAGCCCCACTATTGTTTCTGTTTTGTTCTTTCCTCAGAATAAATTATCTTGGATGAGTTATGTGAGCATGATAGCCATCTTCCTCTTTGTCAGCTTCTTTGAAATTGGGCCGGGCCCAATCCCCTGGTTCATGGTGGCTGAGTTTTTCAGTCAAGGACCCCGTTCTGCTGCTTTAGCAATAGCTGCCTTCAGCAACTGGACCTGCAATTTCCTTGTAGCTCTGTGTTTCCAGTACATTGCGGTAAGCAGCCTAATATTTCACAAATTTACTGAACAGAAGATGGGGTCAAACAACTGCTAATTGGAAGTCTGTGTTTGCTTTCTCTCCAGGACTTCTGCGGACCTTATGTGTTTTTCCTCTTTGCTGGAGTGCTCCTGGCCTTTACCCTGTTTACATTTTTTAAAGTTCCAGAAACCAAAGGAAAGTCTTTTGAGGAAATTGCTGCAGAATTCCAAAAGAAGAGTGGCTCAGCCCACAGGCCAAAAGCTGCCGTAGAAATGAAATTCCTAGGAGCTACAGAGACTGTGTAAAACAAACAAACAAACAAACAAACAAAAAACCGCTTTTTGACATGAACAGCAACAGTAAGGGAACTGTCTGCTTTTAAATGACGATTCCTTGAGCATTTCATATCCACATCTTGAAGTATTGTTTTATTTTTATGAGCTCTCATCAGAAATATCATCAAATACTACCAAAAAAAAGTATTTTTTTAAGTTATAGAATATATTTTTGATGGTAAGACTGTAATTAAGTAAACCAAAAAGGCTAGAATATTTTGTTACACTAAAAGGCAGGTGGTTCTAATATTCTTAGCTCTGTTCTTTGTAACAAGGCTTTGAGTTACAGTTTGTTTTGCTTTTTAATTGAGCACAGCCTGGTTTTCACAGGTACTCAAACAATCATGAGTCAGACATTTTGTATATTACCTCAAACTCCTAATAAGTTTAATCAAATCTAACGTAAGAAAATTTGAAGTAGAGGATTGATCAGTTTGTTAAAAATATTTTCTGAATTATTACATCTCAAAATAAGTTGGAAAGGTAGGGTTGGAGCATTCCTGAGTGTGGGCTTCTGAAACTTCATATAAATGTTCAACCTCAGACTTTATCAAAATCCCTATTTAATTTTCCTGGAAAGACTGATTGCTTTATGGTATGTTCCTAACATAGAATAATCCCCTCCTTTGACATTTTCTTCTATGTCTTAGCTGTATACAGATTCTATCCAAACAATTCTATGGCCATTACTAACATGTATTGTACACCATCAATCTGCCTTTGCCAACATAGGCAAATTGGAAATACATAGATGATTAAACGGACTTTAGCTTACAGTCAATTTTACAATTATGGAAATACAGTTCTGATGGGTCCCAAAAGCTTAGCAGGGTGCTAACGTATCTGTAGGCTGTTTTCTCTACCAAGTGGAGCACTGATCAATCTTTATGTTTGCTTTAATGTGTACTGAAGAAAAGCACTTTTTAAAAAGTAATCTTTAAGAGTGAAAAAAATTAAACAGCCTCTGAACATTTGCCTTGTTTTCTAAAGTTGCTCACATATATGCAATGTAGCAGTCCAAACAACAAGAAATTGTTTCTTTTCAGTTTGATTCATTTTTCCTTTGGATCAATTTGGGATAAACTATTTTCACTTGGAACTTCAGGATACAGTCAAAATGAGCTTAAATAACTCAGGACATCTTTGTGCTAAACTGTGAACTCTGGACAAAAATATAGGGTCTCTGAATAGGGCAGGAACAGGACAATGGCTCCTGGGTGGCTCTTCTATGCTTCTTCAGGATGCTGATGGCCTTTGGGAAGCCCAGTGTTAACACTGGTAAAGGAGCCTAACCTTTTTCTAGGCGATATATGCGATTTAATAAAATCACTATTCCTGATCTCATTCACTAACAGAATAAAGTGGCAAAGATTCAAATTAAAAACCCCAAAGGCCACTTTTAAGTGCTTACTTACTATTTTGACTGGCCCACAAACACCAGAAATTCAGACTCTAAAGTTTTCTGTCTGAGAGAAATTTAAGTGCCTTATATTGCTTCCCTTCTACAACTTTTTCCTTACAGAGATTCATGTGAGTTGAAAAGAAACATTAAAGGGAAATAAGAAGTTGATGAAGCTTTATAGGAGGACCAAAGAACTACCTTACTATAATAAAAAATCCTAGGTCTTTAATGGTATACATCATAATAAAAAATAAAATTGACATTAATTAATTAGATTTTATCCCAGGGAAATTAGATGTGAGTTTAAACACCTAATTCTCCAGGTACTCTCTCATTTTGGTGAAAGTATTCCTATATGCTAACATCTTTACAAATGTGATTTTTCTCTTAGCTTGTTTGAAATATGAGAATTAGACTTTATGATTTGGCATTCACCTGCTACATCTAGGATTGCCCACTGTCATGACTCCCAGGAAAAAGTCCTATTTTAGCTTCCTCCTCCCTACTTTTCTCTACATGGTCAGCACCATAATGCAACTAAGATGTAATAAGACATTGCTCCTTCCCCCTACACTTTAAGGAGCTCACAGTCTAATTGGGATTTCAGGAAGGCCAGCGTATTAATATTCCCATCTGTGTCTTTTGCCTTCCATGAACCTGGGTTTCTAGCCCTCTCTTGTAAAATGGGCACAGTACTATTACCTACCTCAGAGAGTTGTGAGGATTAAACACGAAGTGCTAAGCATAGTGCCTGGTACAAAGAAAGTACTCAATACATGCTACCTAGAACTAGTATTCACAGCAATACTGTTAGGATCAAGGACTACCATATACCAAATTTTTGTTTTAAATAAAAGGAGTTTCATAAGTTCAAGATAATAGTTTCTTCAAAGAAACAATCTCACAACAATGAGGGAATGGTAAGAATCAGGAGAGCGTACTTACCTGGCAGGGGAGATATGATCACAAAGGTGGTTTTCCCAGAGCGAGGCTCATCCATTACGTGCCAGGTGTACTGACCTCTGCCATTTCCCCAAATGTGAGAAACCAACTGCATAATTTAGAGTAGTGGGGGACTGCGTTCACACTCTTCTGAAAACAACAACAACAACAACAAAGAATCAGGAGAAATATTAGGCTAATTCCCAAATCCAAACCTGGTATTTCTGAGTAAGATTATAAGAGTTTTTATTGTATTTTTTTGAGTTTGCTTTTGCATAAGTTATGTTATTTTTACGGGGTCTATATGTACTATTATTTCTTGGAATAATGCTAATTATAAAACAAAATTCTGCCTATCATATTTAAATGTAATTTAATAGAATTATAATCACAAGACCAAACCTTGTTGATAATCCTCAGTAATTGCGTAAGAGGTATATCCATGTAGGCCAGCATACATGCATAAACTACTTCTTATTGCTAGCTTAATTGTTCCATATGTAACAAATATAGCAGTTCGGCAATATCTTGTGCATACAGGGTCCTAAGCAGAGGTGATGAGTCAAGTGTAAATATATATATATTTGGTTTTTTTTTAATTGCAATTGTATATTAGTGACCTGGGAGAAAACATTTGTTGACAACCAGTCTGATCCATCTGCTGCTATTTTTACTGCTATTTGGTACATATTAAAAAGAACGACCATGAAAAGAAACTACTTTGAGTTAAAAGTATATATATACAATAGTTTGTTATCAATAAATATATTTCTGAATGCTTGGTGTTGCTTCATTTATATAGAAAAAAACACATTTTAAAAATGATATTAGTTTGTTGTATATACTCATTTCTTTCTCACAGTATTTTCCCATTCTCATTTTAGAAATAAAATGTGAATGATTTTTAAGCCCAAATTTTATTCCCATCTGGCAGTTATTTGGATTATAAGTAGAAAAACTAACCTGAAGATTAAATAAGGACAGTAGAAGAATGAATGACTCCATTTGATGAAAATAATTTAATTCAGCAAATATTTAGTTGAGCTTCTTTTATGAACAAAATATTAATAAAGTTCTGTGAAACAAAGTTTAGTAAATATAGTCCCTACCCTCAGTCACTTGTATTCTCATAAAAGATCTAAGATTTGAAAACAACTAGATACAGTACTATAAAGAGTGTAGTAAAAGCTTATATAAAGAGCTATACATAAGTGGTTTTCAAATTTTTAAGTTGACACCTTAAATTTTTTGTCAAATATTTGAAAATCTGCAAAAGATGCAATTTTTCAGAATATAGTATATACTGGCATTTTTTAAACTGTGCTGTTTATTTATTCAATGGAATTTAAAAACTATAGTAATGTGTTACTATCCACCATCAAAAAACAAAAAAAGATATTATGTATAAGCGGTTCATATAGATATATGCCACAAAGGACATGATTTCTCTTTTGTTTTTTTTTGGCTGCATTGTATTCCATGGTGTCTATATATATCACATTTTCTTCATCCAGTCAACTATTGATGGACACTTTGATTCCATGATTTTGCTGTTGTGAATAGGGCTGCATTAAATATATGAGCTCATGTATCTTTTACACATAATGTTTTGTTTTTTCCCTTCTGGTAGATGCCTAGTAATGGAATTGATGGGTTGAATGGTAGTTCTATTTTTAATTCTTTGAGGAATCTCCCTACTGTTTTATTAACGCAAAGATGTACTAATTTACATTCCCACTAACAGTGTATAAGCATTCCTTTTACTCTGTGTCCACACCAATATCTGTTGTTTTTTGACTTCATAATAGCCATTCTCACTGATGTGAGATGGTATCTCATTGTGGTTTTAATTTGCATTTATCTAATGATTAGTGATGTTGAGAATTTTTTGTATGTATGTTGGCCACTTGTATGTCTTTTTCCCATTTATTTATTTTATTGCATTTTAGGTTTTGGGGTACATGTGAAGAACATGCAAAATTGTTGCATAGGTACACACATGGCAGTGTGATTTGCTGCCTTCCTCTCCATCACCTACATCTGGCATCTCTCCCTTTGCTATCTCTCCCCAACTCCCCACCTCCCACCATCCCTCCCCTATTTCCCCCCAACTGACCCCAGTGTGTAGTGCTCCCCTCCCTGTGTCCATGTATTCTCATTGTTCAATACCCACCTATGAGTGAGAACATGTGGTGTTTGATCTTCTGCTCTTCTGTCAGTTTGCTGAGAATGATGGTTTCCAGGTTCATCCATGTCCCTACAAAGGACACAAATTCATCGTTTTTGATGGCTGCATAATATTCCATGGCTTATATGTGCCACATTTTCCCTGTCCAGTCTATCATCGATGGGCATTTGGTCTTTGCTATTGTAAACAGTGCTGCAGTGAACATTCGTGTGCACATGTCCTTATAGTAGAACGATTTATAATCCTTTGGATATATACCCAGTAATGGGATTGCTGGGTCAAATGGAATTTCTATTTCTAGGTCCTTGAGGAATCGCCACACTGTCTTCCACAATGGTTGAATTTACACTCCCACCAACAGTGTAAAAGTGTTCCTATTTCTCCACATCCTCTCCAGCATCTGTTGTCTCCAGATTTTTTAATGATCGCCATTCTGACTGGCATGAAATGGTATCTCAATGTACTTTTGATTTGCATTTCTCTAATGACCAGTGATGATGAGGATTTTTTCATATGTTTGTTGGCCTCATGTATGTCTTCTTTTGTAAAGTATCTGTTCATATCCTTTGTCCACTTTTGAATGGGCTTGTTTTTCCTTGTAAATCTGTTTTAGCTCTTTGTAGATTCTGGATATCAGCCCTTTGTCAGATGGGTAGATTGCAAAAATTTTTTCCCATTCTGTTGTTGGTTGCCAATTCACTCTAACGACTGTTTCTTTTGTTGTGCAGAAGCTGTGGAGTTTGATTAGGTCCCATTTGTCTATTTTGGCTTTTGTTGTCAATGCGTTTGGTGTTTTGGTCATGAAGTCCTTGCCTACGCATATGTCCTGAATGGTTTTCCCTCCCTTGTAGGAGGAGAGGTGTTCTTGTGCCGGGTGTTTTCATCCTTTTTGCACTGGTTTCTTCCCGTCTTTAAGTATTTATCCACCTGTCGTCTTTGTAGTTGCTGGCTTTCAGATTGGGTCTCTGAGTGGACGTTCTGTTTGTTGATGATGAGGTTATTTCTGTTTCTTAGTTTTCCTTCTAACAGTCTGGTCCCTCTGCTGTAGGTCTGCTGAGGTCCACTCCAGGCCCTGCTTGCCTGGGGATCACCTGAAGCAGCTGCAGAACAGTAAGTGTTGCTACCAGTTTTCTTCTTCTGCTATCTTTGTCCCAGAAGGATACCCACCAAGTGTCAGTCTGATCTCTCCTTTATGAGGTGGCTCTTTGGATATACAGGGGTCAGGGAGCTGCTTGAGGAGACGGTCTGTTCTTTATAGGAGCTGAAATGCTGAGCTGTGAGCTCCGTTGTTTGTTCAGAGCTGCTGGGCAGGTACGTTTAGGTCTGCTGCAGCAGAACTCATAAACCGCTTTTTGTTCCCAGGTGCTCTGTCCCAGGGATTTAGGGCTTTATGAGTTTCTGTTACGCTGCTGCCTTCTTTTTTTTTCCTTCAGAGCTGCCCTGCCCAGCAAGGAGGCAGCCTAGTCACTGTCTGCCTGTAGAGGCTTTGCTGAGCTGCTGTGGGCTCCGCCCAGCTGCTGAGTGAACTTCCCTGCAGTCCTGTTTATATGGGTGTAGTTAGAACTGCCTCGGCATTGGTGGCCCCCCTCTGTTATGCACTAGCTCTGTAGTGGTGGGTTGCCTTGGCAACAGTGGGCTGCCTCAGCATTGGCTGACTACCTCCGTAGTGGTTGGCTGCCTCGGTAATGGCGGACGCCCCTCCCCCACAGAGCTGGACCGTCCCGGCTTCAGCTGCGCTTGCTGTGAAACTCTCAATCCAGACAGTTTCTGCTTGCTGTTCTTTTGTGGGCGTGGGACCAGCCGAGCCTGATCGCCTGGCTCCCTGCCTCAGAGCCTTTTTTTTTTTTTAAGTTGGTGTTCCAGTCGCCTGTTGAAAAGGCGCCAGGAGAGCGGCGACTCACTGCACTGGCTTAAACAGCGGCACTGAGATTTGTGGCGTTTTTTTTGCCCTGGGATCTACTGTCCTCGTTCCCTGTTCAGTCCCCTTTTTAAACAGATGAATGGGCGACTTCCCATGGCTCCAATCACCAGCCAAAAGGGCACCCGGACTAGTGTATTTTGTACGGAGAACCGCTGCACCGGGGCACTGACAAAGCAGCCGTGTGGGGCAAAGCAGCCGTGCGGGCCGACACAGCCACGCTGGCGACCCGCAGGGCTCCTCTGCCTGTGAATTTCCTAGTCTGTGGGCAATAAAAATGCGGCGTCCACTCACCCTCTGCACTTTCACTGGGAGCTGCAATCCTGAGCTGTTGCTAAACAGCCATCTTGGATCGATCGACAAAGCTATATATCTTGTATGTCTTCTTTTAAGCATACAAGGAAGTTTGTTCATGTCCTTTGCCCACTTTTGTAATGGACTGTATAGTTTTTTTCTTGAGTTGTTTGTGTTCCTTGTAGACTCTAGATATCAGTCCTTTGACAGATCCATAGTGTGCAAATATTTTCTCCCATTCTGTAGATTGTCTATTGACTCTATCGATAATTACTTTTTGCTGTGCAGAAGCTTTTTAGTTTAATTACACCTCATTTGTCTATTTTCGTTTTTGTTGCATTTGCTTTTGAGGCCTTAGTCATAAATACATTGCCTAGGCCAATGTCCAAAAGAATTTTTCCTAGATCTTCTTTTAGGGATTTTATAGTTTCAAGTATTAAATTTAGGTCTTTAATCCATTTTGAGTTAATTTTTATATATAGTAAGAGTTAGGGGTCCCATTTTATTCTTCTGCATTTGGCTAGCCAATTTTCCCAGCATCATTTATTGAATAGGGTATGCTTTCACCATTGTTTATGTTTGTCAAAGATAAGTTAATTGTAGGCATATCAATTTATTTCGGGGTTCTCTATTCTGTTCCATTGATCTATGTGTCTATTTTTGTACCAATACCATGCCACTTTAGTTACTATAAGCTTGCAGTAAAATTTGAAGTCAGATAATGTGATGTCTCTTACTTTGTTCTTCTTGCTT